CTGGCTGGGGAATTCTGGAAGTTGAAGTCCACACATCTTAAAGTTGCCATGGTTGAGAAACACTGGATCTCCAAGAACCTTCCAACCATATTATTCTGTGATTCTGTTTGTCTGGGAGATGCTGAACTGGCAAGCAATTTAAGCTAGATCCCTTTGGCTTCCAAATCAAGGGTGGCACCTTCTCATGCTAGAAAGTCTTCATTTTGAAGGCCTGCCTGTTCTCTTCCACCTTAACTGCTCTGCTTTCATTCTCTCTGCATCCAGAAATGTTTCAAACAATGGGCTCATTAAAGGATCTTGCTAGAGTCCTGTTAACACTCCACAACTGTCAGGTTTCTCACCGTTTCAATGGAATTGCCATTCCCCAGATTCCGTTGTAGGTGGCAGTTGAAGATCTCCTCTGCCCGTTTTAAATATTGGGTGATCTTCCGCTTCACGGCCTCACGGCGCTCTTTGTTAGGATCCACTGTCAAAAGTTATGTGTATTAATTATTCTTAGGCCATCTTTATTTATTTATTGGGCTTTTATGCCACTATCATCATTCTGAATTCTGAGCTGCTTCTGTATCCTATTTCATAATTTAAGTTAAAAAAAATACATAGCAACATCAAATTTCACATCCCCACTGAGAAGCAATCAAAACTCTTTAAATGGTGTAGTGGTTAAGGGGCTGGAAATAAATAAATAAATAAATCAGGAGACGGTGAGTTCTAGGCCTCCCTTATGCATCAAAGCTGGCTGGGTGACTTTGGGCCAGTCACTCTTTCAGCCCAACCCACCTCACAGGGCTATTGTGGGAAAACAGGAGGCAGAGATACGTTCACTACTTTGAGTTGATCAAATTAAAAAAAAGGTGGGATAAAAATCTAGTAATAATAATAATATATATTCCCAACTTCCCTCGAAAAAGGCAGATTGGGGCCCTAAGGACTAAATATATATGCACCTTTCTAAATAGTTGGGTCTTCCAGACATCACAACTCTAGCTTCCCTTCCCACTTCAGTTTCATCTAATCTATATATGTGGCAGAAGAGTCTAGAGCTTGAATCCTGAATTAGTAAAACTGATTCTTCCATTTCAGCTGAAAGTGGAAGATAGCGTTTTGGCCATTTTCCAAGGAAAGGAGGAATCATGGGATGCAGGAAAGTTAGGTAGCATAAAAGAGGGGAGGATAAATTATATTCCTTGTTCTTCTAACTTGCCAATTTTTAAAATATATTAGAGGAAGGTTTATACAACGTATTTAGTAAATTTAGTATTTACCTTCTTAAAATCTCCCCTCTCCACACCTGCTATGCTGACTCATCATGGTGGGATAGGGGTGTTTCTGGGAGGGATGAGCAAAGAATGTCAGGAATATATGCCAAGAGTATATATTCCCAGTGGGGTCACCCAAGTCATGATGGCCATCCCAGCTGCCCAGCTAAAGCAAGCTGCATCTATACTGGGTTGCAGCGATATAGGAGGGTGCTGGATGTGAGAATGGCAAAGACATCAATTTATACTGCGAAGGAGAAGACAGTGGTAAACTAATTGATTAATTATGTGCTGTCCAGTCATTGTCGACTCTTAGCGATCACAGAGATAGATTTTCTCCAAGATGATCAGTCCCTAACCTCTTTTTAGGAATAATATAGTCAATTTATTTGCTATGTACTCCACCTGGTGATGTCCATGTATACAGGTGTCTCTTTGATCATTTGAAAACAGTGTTAGCTATGAATAAATCATTGGAGTGGACATATTATGTGAAGACTTAGCTCTCTGCAGAAGGCTCTAATGCTGGGAAAGGTGGAAAGAAATAGAAGAAGAGGATGACCAACAGCAAGGTGGGTGGACTCAGCAACAGCAGTGATGGGGTAGGCTATTAGGAAACCTGAAGGATCAGGTTAGAAACAGACTGTCATGGAGAAAATCTATCAGTCAACACCAACTTGATGGCATATAATAAATCATCAATCAGACTTAACTAATTCTGCAGCATGCATAAACCAAGCCAAGATGTTACTCAGGACATTAAGCCCATCAGCAGAGGAAACAATGGCAAATTAGAAATGCAAGTCTATTGAAAAACAACCCACATTAACCAAGTGCTCCATTACCAAAGTAACAACTCAACCTCCCACAAGAGAAGCTGCGTAAGAACATTATTCAGACAAGTACAAACACACTGCAGCAACCCAGAACAGCAGAAATTGGAAACAGACCATCTATACAACATCTTCCAACAAAATGGATATCCACACAACTTTATCAAAAAGTACTTGACCGCTCAATGCACTACAGAACAACCAATACAAGCTATGAAAAGGATAACACTGCCATACATCAAAAACATCTCAGAAACAACCAACAGACTATTACAACCACACAGAATCACTGTAGCACACAAACCAACTAAAGATTCCGGAAACATTTTAATTAAACCAAAAGACTCAGTAGCCCAAGAAGAAAAAACAGGGATAACACTGCCATACATCAAAAACATCTCAGAAACAACCAACAGACTATTACAACCACACAGAATCACTGTAGCACACAAACCAACTAAAGATTCCGGAAACATTTTAATTAAACCAAAAGACTCAGTAGCCCAAGAAGAAAAAACAGGAATCAGCTACAACATACAGTGTAAGGACTGTAACAGCCACTATGTAGGACAGACAAGCAGAAGGCTAGCAGAGTGCATCCATGAACACCAGCACTAGCAGTCAAAAAACACAATGAAAGCTCCTTAATTTCACAACATATAGACAGACTCAACCATAGTTTCGACTGGGAAAGTGTGAGCATACTAGACGAAGCTAAATCTAAAAATGCTAGGGAATTCCTGGAAGCTTGGCATTCAGACAAATCATGCATCAATAGACACATAGAGATAAACCGCATTTACACTCCGTTCAAAATAGGCAATAAAAAAGCTAAGAAGGAAACAAAAAGACCAGCAGCCTACACCCAGATAAGCAGGGACTAACACCAGACAAACAATCAAGCAGAAAACAATACCCTAATCAAAGAACTACCAAGGAGAAAACCACACCCCCACTAACACTGCCAGAGCAATCTACTGTGTATAAATAGGGAGCAAACCCCACACTCACTGGCACTGATGATGCTACCCAGTCAAGTAATGAAATGTCTGCAAGCAAACAATCAAGCTCAGAGAGCACCAAGGACTCCACATTAAGCTCAGCAATACTGGAAATACTGGAAATCCTATTTGGAACTCCTCTGAACTTTTGAAATTCCAACAAATACTGACCGTATCTTCAAACATCTCTTTGCATATTTAAGGGCTAGAAGCTTACTTGAAACAACAAACCAACCACAGGGGATAAGTCTCTGCTTCTTTGTGTAGACCTTCCACTGTTTTCAACATTACGGTTATACTGTGAGTAAAACAGTCAAAGCATCTCAGTATCTCAGTAAGTACTCTAAGCGTCTTCTTCACTATTGCCTTAATTCCAATCTTAGGGTGAATGTAATCATTACCCACTGTCATTGTTTTCTCATTTTTTCTGCCAGTTAATCACAGAATCAACTTTTCCAATGAAGACAGAAATTACTATATGGTTGCCCAGTCATGTAAACTTTGCAAATATTTAGAGCCATATGGTCTTCCAAACCATACCCACTTCAAAGTAAGCTGCTTTGAAATCAAAGAGAGGTGCTTGGAATTAGAATGATGATAGCCTTTATGCTATTGAGAAAGGTATGAATGTGAGAAGGAAATTAGTTGCCAGACAGTCTTTCAGTTAGAGAGCCTAGCTTGTATAGAATAGCATGACCTTGCTTGGGGTAAAAAATGGCTCTGGTTGCACTTGTGATATATGGCCATACTGTGCCAAAACTGAGCAGTACTCTCCTTACTGTTAAAAGGAAATGCTGCATGTGGCATAGGTATTGTACAACTAAGGATGCTACTGTATCTTACTAAAAAGCTTTATATGAAAGACTTCAGCAACCGAAGCCATTATGGGCAGCAGAGATCAATATCTCTGGGCATGTCATGGCATATGGAAGATTGTGTCTCGGAAAGTAGGAGAAATGGTAAAGGGCATGATGAAAAGGAGAAAATTATATGTTGAGTATTTGTGAAACAAACAGTACAATAGATCTGAATGAAGGTAGTAAATCTTGCAGAATGCAACTGATGAATACATGTAGGGAAGCAAAGGTGCAGTTTAATTGCAAATTAAATGATTAAAATCTATGTCCAAAAGTATCAATTGGTGTCATCTAGGTTATTGTGGGTGAATGTCAAAGAAGAAATCCAAAGGTTGGTAACAACTGCATATTGTGATAATGGAAGAACTAGGAATGAGTTTGGGGGAAAAAATGTATAACTTCTGAATATGACCCAGGAGAAATTATTCTGAGTGGATGGGTGGGAACGAGATAAGAGAGCACAGGAAAAGTGAGTGAGCCATTTGGATACCCAAGAATGAATGAGAATGGTGACTGGTGAGTAATTGCTTAGAAAAAGTATACACTTAGAGCCATTTTGGCTCAGTGGTTAAAATGTTGGACTAGAAACCAGGACATCATGAGTCCTAGTCCTTCCTTATACACAGAAGCCAGCTGGGTGACCTTGGGCCAGTCACCCTCTCTCAGCCCAACCCACTTCACAAGGTTGTTGTTGTGGGGGAAAAATGAGGAAGGAGCATTATATATACTCCCTTGATTTGTACAAAATAAAGGTGGGATGTAAATCTAATAAA